AGAGCCTGAAACGCACCTGACACCGAAAGCAGTTTTTCTTGTGTTACTGGGTTTTTATGCGCACGGTTATGTTGCCATAGCGATGGAAGCGGGAGGCCCCGAGCATAAGAAGCGACGCAGCGCTCCGTTACCCGCAGGATGCCGCTCCTCTCGCCGCCTTACCTTCCTCTCCGCGAGCTGTGTGAGGTCTGTTTGCTCTCCACGGACTTCCCACTGAAAAATAAATGCAATTTATTTTCTAACTGCACGACTCGCCTGTACTGTTGGTGGAAGATGGGTGATTCTGAGAAAAAGCAATTATAAGTTCGCTCTATGATGCTCAAGTATAATTAAACAAAATTATAACCTTAAACAAGTCGCAAGCGACAAATGGAATCAAATATTTGATTACTCACATAATCTTTCATGACATTAGAATAAGAAAAATAATATAAAATTTTTACAGTATTTTACTCTGTCTTTTGGCAAAGCAATTTAATAATTGCCATAATTTATCCACACAAAATGTGATTCCATTAAAAAAACCCTTTAGCTGTCTCTAGCAAGTGCTCTTCACTATGAATAAGTGCTGAATATATTAGGCTATACTGAATTATAACAATCACGTTTCTGTCTACTTCCAGATATGATGGTTAGTTATTTTCTTAATCTCAAGAACGAGCGGTCGGCCAATCTGTAAGTGAGTGTGATGAGCACCTGTATACCAACGAGTGCGACGCCGTCCTCCGTGAAATTCACCGATGTGTGTAATGAGAGGCAAACCGTATCCCTGATGGTACACTGCTGCAAATATAATATGATTACGGATTCACTTCCGGACCAGAAACGCAGAACTGCCAGTCTCCTATCCATTCAGCATGTCCTCAATTCGTTTTAGGGATTTGGGGGATGCGGTCGGGGAATTCTACTGGGAACTATATTACACTTTTTGATGGTAAGCTGTCAGAGATGGTCTGCACCATTAAACTTCGATATGAAACATCTGACAGTCCTCAAGCCCTCAACAGATATAAAATGGCAGATATGACTTAGATGTGCGAAGGTCGAAATATGTACTCATTAACAAAAATACAGTGAACAGTGGGGAAAAAAATTCTTAACATTTACTTTGCCGTTTTAAATAGGTTAGTAGGTCTATAACAACTGAGTAAAATCCTCGATGATGTAAAATTGTTGCAGGTGGAAGGTTGACTGGAAATCATTGATGACCTGGTTATAAGTAAAAGCGACTTGCTTTGATGGGTAATTTAATACCTCTGAAACATATATTTTTTTATTTCTGATTGAAGCTGAGCTCCCTGTCCACTGAGGCCTGGAATGACCATCTGGCATGCTGGGCATTTCCCGTGGGCCGTTGGGTATGTGAGCTGGCAAAATTTATCGCCCGTGACCCGTTCCCCCGGTCAGCGAAATATACCGCTGGGCAAAAGTTATCACGGAGACACAACCCCCCACCCCAGGCCACTCGGCAGAATTTATCGTGGGGCCGTGAGGGGGGAGCTTGATGTCCAGGAAACCATGGTAACTCTTAAGCCTTGTTTTTATGTTCTTTCTTTTGTAGATAATAAAATAGTCTATCTTATCGGGTGTCAAAAAAGGAACTGAGGGCAGTTGCTTAAAAATAGTTATATAGAAGTATTTACCATTTGGCTGTCTGTAGGAAATTTCATTCCCTTGCCCGACACTCCACCCGGCGGGGTTGATAATACTGCACATTATCTGCTGCGCCTAATATTTAATATACTGAGATTAGATGGAGGTACTATATTTTAGTACCAGTCCGAGTCACCCTGTAATTGGTTTTTATTCTAAATCTATTTTACGTAACATTTTGGGCGGTTTTACGATTACGTTACACATCTCCCATGAATAATAATTGTGCTGGAAACTGTAAGGGTTTTTTGTTGGAAAACATCACAAGTAGGAGTTAGGAGGGAGCGAGTATGAAGAAGGGTTCCTATATTTTATAACGCTTCTATTTCTGTTTTAAAATGATGGAAGCGCCACTCAGAGAGAAATACACTAACATTAAATGCAGGGGGACTGGAAGGGGAACAAGGGGACGCTGTCGGGAGGTGCTTCTGCTCTGCTCACCCCTGGGGGGGGGGGGGTGAAGTACGGTGGTCTGTTAAATGTCACTGTTTTCTACAAGATGCTGCCATGTCGTGACTTACACATCTGCCGTGACGATCCGCAGCTGTTTGCGTGTGGAAACGCAGTGGATGGGCGAGTCCCGTCTCTTGCTGTGTCACCTCCACAAGACTCCGTATGGACAACAGGCAGTGCGTTTGCTGTTCTCTGTGGTCACCAGCGTGTGCTCATTATGGCGTGGCGCTCATCTGCTGGATCGAGATTCTCTCAAACCCCAGAATAGGCGTAAGCGTGGAGAAACGTGTGAAATATGTAGGCAAGCATATTTCCGTCTGAATCTCACCTTATTTATTTGGCAGACTTGTTTCATATAGACCTGATATACGCTTGTGCTTCAAATTAAATTGCAGCTTTTGAATTTCATTTTGAAAACAGCTACTTATGCCTACTTATGCTTCTTACTAACTGTAGGGAAATTTGGCTGGTTTAATTACATGGCACGTAAAATTAGATTAGAGTGTTTGAACATCCAACGAACAGTTGCTACCCTCAATAACAGCAACAGATCCAGCCTAATAATAACAACAACAACCAGAAATTAAGAAACCCATTACTGGGTAAATGGGGCACATACCTTTTTAAAATGAATAATTAATAATAAAAAAAAATAGTAGTTACCCTGGAGCTGGAATAATCATATTATTAAACCGTTTTCGGTATCTTGCTGTCATAGGAAGTAGGGTTTTCTTCTGAAGCGCTCTTTCAGAAGCTCTCTGAACAGAAATGGCAAACAAATTAAGTTGCTGAACTGGATTCATTTGTATACAAATGCTGTGCTGAACATAATATCTGTCAAACTCTCCGCTTTTCACTTTTTTAACTGCCTGATGACCTGGTTTGAATTGCACCGGTATTACGTGATCTTTACGTGATCTTTCAGTCCTCTGCCCTTTTAATGAAATGCCCTTTTAGTCCTAAAATTTTTCCCAGTGATTTTTGCTTTTCAAATTGTCAGTCTAAACGTTATAGGCCAACTTGCACCGGTGGTGGCAGTCCCCCCCCCCTCCCCCCCCAGGGAAGGTGACTTCAGGGCCGGCATAGATTAGGCAGCTGCTGTCGGCTTCCAGTGTAGCGCAACCAGTCGGTAAACGGAGCGTATAAACGGAGATCGAAGATGCGGCAGCCTGAGATAAAGCTGTAACGGGCCGATTGTCTTGCCCCATTTCTCCCGTAATACTCCATTAAGCGGCGCAGATGAGAGTGCAGACACTGATATCTCACAGCGTCCCCCCACTGCCCGGCCTCTTTGGTCCTACGGAAAACTGTCTTTGTTTAAGTGACAGTGCCGAATAGCAGCGCGAGGCGTGGTCAACTGCAGCAAAGCTGCTTATTGTCTGCGCGAAATTTGGCGTGAAATTCGTTGGTGGGTGGATGGATTTGTTCGTCAGGTCCCAGCTTTCGGGAGAGTGCAGTACAGTTTGTGTGGCTCCCACAATGGCACACAGATGTTCAGTTCAGCTGAATTTCTGTCTATGAAATATCCCTCAGTCTGGGATTAATTTTGTGTGTGTGTGTGTTCGCGTCCTGTAACGGCTGGCATCCTGCCCCTTCGCCTTGCACCCTGTGTTTCCTGGGATCGACTCCAGTCTCCCTGTGAAACTGTACTGGACAAGCGGATGAGAGATGGATGGATGGATAAGATGGTGCTATTAATAAGTACGTGTGATAAAGGGGCTCTCCGATCATCTCCCAAGGGAAGGTCAGATGACCGTAGTCATTTGAGTTTATTCACTGCTCTTCCCCTTCCTTCCCAGTGTGTTTTACTAGTTTATGTCCCGGCCCAGTCTGTGCCAATAAAGTGGACATATAAAATCAGTCTCTTCGTGTGAGGGATGTCACGTGACTCTGCCTGTTGTGCATCACTGGCTTCCTCACAGTGTGATAAAGGTCACAGTTAGTTTTCATGTTCTTCTGCATGCGTGACTGTTTTAGCTGTCACACGTTTGGAAATGTAATGGAAAAAAATGTCTTTTAACCTAATTAACTTTTTTTAACCTAATTAACTTTAGCCCTGCTCTGTATCTTCACAAAACCATTTTGAAATAATGTAAAAATATGTTTCACTGTATCTCTTCATGAATGTTTAATAAGTAAATTGGTGTGCCGCTACACCTGGATTTTGTTGAAAAATGGGAAAAACATTGAAACTAATCATATCACTAAGCCCAACATTAAAGGTAAAGGCAACTCTACATATTTAACACTTAATGCCTTAACTACTAATATGAGTGATAACGCACATTAGCTGAGAAGGACTGAAGGGGGACTCAGGAAGCAGCCGCAGAGCTGCTCACAGACGCAGACGCACCGCAGCCTGTCGGAGCTGCTCAGACGCAGACGCACCGCAGCCTGTCGGAGCCGCGGAGATGCTCACAGACGCAGACGCACCGCAGCCTGTCGGAGCCGCAGAGATGCTCACAGACGCGGACGCACCGCAGTCTGTCGGAGCCGCGGAGCTGCTCACAGACGCGGACGCACCGCAGCCTGTCGGAGCCGCGGAGCTGCTCACAGACACAGACGCACCACAGGCTGTCATTAACATTTTATTATTTCCTCTTTCCTCCCAAAGGGCCTAACAGCAGTTCATCTTCCCGGTGATCTCAGTTAATTTCCCTTCGGCCATTTTCTGAGCTGTATGTGTGTGTGAGTGATAAAAACATGTTATTGTGACATTGTGGGGACCACTTTTTTGGTCCCCACAAGGGGAAATTATTATTTTTTTAAATTCCATGACCACAATCAAAAAATAAAAAATGCCAGATATCTTGTTCCCCGTGGGCATCCCTCTGCAGTCCCAACCACCCTGTGCCTGGTTGGGGACGCCTTTGAGATCCCAAGCACAAGAAAAAGGCCACTAAGACAAATGCTGTCCACGTCTGTGCTGATGGTGACGACCTGGGATGTGTGATTGGCTGTCAGTCTAAACCACTTTCCACTGGACTGATCATCTGAATATCAGCCTCTCCTGAATGCAGGGGTTTATAATGCAGAGCAACTCATTGGAATAAATGTGTGAGAACAGGAATATTACCCAGCAATCTGTGTGACGGATGTGTGTCTGTGTACAGCAATGTAAATAATCAGCAGCCAGGAATATATCATAATTAATAATATAATAGTTTATTAGGTCTTTAGAAAATGAAAAAAAACATTCAGTAAAAGCTGGAAGGCATAAAGAATCATTTCCGCATTTTCAGAAAAAAACATCGAATTGTACCAATGATAAAATTTATAAAAACTGATATATGCAGCTCCATGCACATTGAACGTTCATTAAGGAACATGGGCAGGTGAAACAGACGTTTTAAAGCATCACCATTATATAATATTATACTGTGGGATAAGGGAGTGAAGTTTCTCTTAAAGGTTTCATATGTATATATATATATAAGTTCACCACCATGAAACAAAATGCCGTGAGTTATTACACAACATGACTACATACTATTTAACCTCAAGGGCATTTATTTAACAGTACAGCGGTTACATAAAGCATATATATATAATTGGCATAACAAAAAACTGCAACGTATAAAAATATTTTTAACAGATGCACCCATCCATCTTTAAAACCCTTTTCCTTGTCAGGGTTAAGGGGGGGTCTGGGGCCTCTCTGTCCCAGGCAGACAAAAGAGTCCAGGATACCAGTCTGCTGTGGGTAAACACTCACGCACTACGGGCGACATAGACAGTCCAGTTAGCCTCACTGCAGGAGGGATTCGAACTCCTGAATCGGGAGCTGTGAGGTCACTGCACTGCCACGCTGTCCACCGAATCGGGAGCTGTGAGGTCACCACACTGCCACGCTGTCCGCCGAATCGGGAGCTGTGAGGTCACCGCACTGCCACGCTGTCCGCCGAATCGGGAGCTGTGAGGTCACCGCACTGCCACGCTGTCCACTCATGTTGGTTTTTAAATGCTACTGCCGAGACACTATAGGACTAAAGGGTCTGATGTGATGGATTGGCAGCTGTCAGATGAGATACTATTGGTGCCAAGTTGTTACTGATAACAGCACTTTCTGCAGACGGTGTTCTACTGAGTTTCGGATATATCTGTGTCTGCCTGACACAGAGTTAAATTACACGCTGGTACACGGTGGGCAACTCTGATGGTGAGTAACAGTGTGAGCACAACCAAATATTATTAGATTTTTGGAGCGGAACTCATTTGCAAATGCATTTAATTAATTTATTGATCCTGTACCAAATTTCATCAGTTCTGTACAAGTTGAATGATTTCAAGTAACGAGCAAATACCACGTATAAGTAACAATGTGCAAATAAGGTAAATAGAGCTGTATTGCCAACCTTCAGCTTGTATCCCACCTCATTCCGGGGCTTTTCTGAGATACGTGTGAAGGTCTGTGTTTGAAAGCCACATACATCACAGCTTTGCGCTTTGGCTGAAAGGGCCAGTCATTCATGGAAACCCAACGCTGCTTCTTTTTTTTTACATGGATCAGAATATATTATCTGATCACCACTGGCATGAAAACATCACTTGGCAAGACCTTAAATGGCTCAGTATGGGTCCTCTGCTGTAGATGAATCACATGCTACGCCTGACAAAGGTAGCTAGAAATGCTGCACTAGCAAGGAGTCTGCAGTTTTGCTGAGAACCTCCGCGTTGGGTTCCCGCAATAAAAAGCATTTGTCATCTGAACAGAGGCTGCTGTCGGGAGACCAGTCCAGCGGCGCGTCGGATACGTTCGCCTTGGCCAGCCCAAGAGCAACGGGACAGTCAGAGTCCAGTCGTGACCTGCGTTACCTCGGAGTTCATGTCGACGTGCAGCTGGCCGCGGGAGTCCAGCGACGACATCTCCATGGCTAGTCATACCTGCTGGTTGGTCCGTTCCAGGGTGTGCCCACTGGAATTATGCTCACGGTGCGCAGGCCGGATGCGAGAGGAGTTCTGCAGGTCCAGGCCGGCTGGAGAGGGGACGCAGAACTCGCGGAAGCAGCGCTTGAAGTTCTCGTCCAGGAAGGCGTAGAGCACGGGGTTGAGGCAGCTGTTGGTGTAGCCCAGGGTGATGCAGAAGTGCCAAGTGATGGACTGCAAAAGCGAGTTGGGGATGTTCACCAGGGCCTTGATGATAACAAAGATGTGGATGGGGGTCCAGCACACGATGAAGACGGCCACCACCACCAGCACCATGCGCGTGATACGCCGGAGGTTGCGGTCCTTCTCCTTGGAGCCAGACAGCAGGCGGACGCTCTTCAGGCGGAGGATCATCAGCCCGTAGCACACCGTGATGATGAGGACGGGCATGATGAAAGCGAAGATGAAGACGCAGATCTTCAGCAGGTTGTCCCAGTACCAGTATGGGTGGGGAAACTTCAGGGTGCAGTCGATGATTTTTGGAGCTTTGGAAGGCCATGAAGCAAAGCACAAAACATGGAGTAAGAGAAGAACAAAATGTGACTCGATTGATACAAATCCTTCACTGCAGTTTCTAATGATTAAACATGATAGGACTGTGCAGAAGTCAGTGCCTGGACATTTCAGCCTCAGAAAGAAAGTCTTTAAGGTTGTGTTTGTGCACATTGACTATCTCCACTTCAATACTTTGCACTCGGAAATGAGAGCGTCTAACGTGCTGCCAGAAGGCAAACAGCACACAGCAGAATAAATCAAACTGCCTACCAAATGATTTTCTTTCCACAAGCACTGGTACGTGGCTGGAAATTCATTTATTTTTGACAAATGACTCTGCTAACTACTGTTTTTCCAGCCTGTTAGGGGAGTTCAATTGCAGCCATCTATTGTGAAGGAGAAAGGCCAAACGTGTATGAAGAAAACAGTCCTGTATTGTGGTCACACCTGTGCTTTTCGGCAATTCACAGCGAACGCTAAGATGCGATAAACAACATCACCCCAAGCACTGTCACTAACACAGGGACGAAATAAACAAGGAAAAAAATTGGCCATTGGCACTAAACTGTTAGATTTAATCATAGCTAGAGAACTAGTTCGGTCATCCTGACAGAACTTTGGGCGGGGAAGACCGTAGTATACTTACCATTCCTGTGAGCCACGGTAGAGGCCATGATCATAACGGGCAGGCCGATGGCAGAAGAAAGGATCCAGTTACAGACGTTGACGATCTTGGCGTTTCGCGGCGTGCGGAAGTCGAGCGCCTTGATGGGATGGCAGACGGCGATGTAACGGTCCACACTCATGGTGGTCAGCGTGAAGATGCTGGTGAACATGTTGTAGTAGTCGATGGAGAGCACCACTTTGCAGAGCTCCTCGCCAAAGGGCCAGGTGCCCATCAGGAAGTTGACGCCCTGGAAGGGCAGCGTGCTGGTGGCCAGGGCATCCGCCAGGGCCAGGTTGAAGATATAGATGTTGGTGGCTGTTTTCATTTTCGTGTATCTGGAATGGAAAGATCTTTAAGACCTCGAGGGAGATGTTCAAGCTCATGGTGAGCGGTTAGCAGTGAGCAGGGATTATATGGCAGAGGCAGAACATTAAGGAAAGCTTGGATGATGACTTCTACTCTTGTCTTACATTAATGTTATATAACAAGTCCACTGATTACCATGTGGAGTTGAGGCTAGAGGAACCTAATTATTTCATTTGCATGATTTCCCACATGTGTCTCCATGTCAGCCAGAACCTGGGAGATTTGAAAGGAGCCGGAGGAGCGACTAATGAAGCTGCTTTTTTGGTACTTTGCGAGATCCCGGTGATCCATGGAGTTACAAGTTACTGCTTCTCTCTGCTAATAATACAGATATCATATTGCTTTCTAATTTCAGTTAACGATCACCTTGATGTTGTTGGTCATATACCTCTTTCCTGTCACTTATGTATAGATTATGTACAGCTGAACATTTCATATATTTTTTTTATCTTGTATTATTATTTTTCCTTATTTATTTATTTTTTCTCTATATTTTGTTATCATGCATTGCTGCTTGGAGTGACCAGGGTTACATTCCACTACATGTTGTATGTGTACAACTGTGTACGTGATGAATAAACCTCTTGAATCTTGAATCATTATGCTGGCAGACATTAGCACCTCCTTCCAGTGAGCAAAAAAATGCCCCAAATGGTACATTTAACTCCTTACTAAAAAACAGTTGTGTATAAAATATGCTATACAGTTAAACCTGACTTATCAGGACATCTGCGTTTAGGAGAAGGTTCCCATATTCTGCTTGATCATAGGTGGCAGAATGTACTTTGTAGGGTGAGAACATTTTAAATGCACAGCTGTTCTCACAGCCACAGCGGGTTCCTCAGCACTGTAGTTATGAGGTGTTTAGCAAGGTCTTGCAGGAAAGGGCAGTCGTAAGCCATTGGCCGTGAGATTAAAATAACGCGGTAATCACAGGGTGCATCGCAAGGAGCCTGAGAAAATCTGTTAAAGTGCATCTCCGTGTTTCGAGTACCCGGCACAGTGCTTTCAAGATTCAATTTCACAGCGTGATTGTGATGTGGGCATGAATTACCCCCCAAGTGGCGACACACAGCGAGGGCGGGAAATGAACGCCGTGGCACGCGGGGGGTGATACACTCCTCTATTTGCCGACGGTGTGAGAGCGCTTAATTCACAAGACTCACCGGCATCTGCCATTTTTCATTTGCTGAGCCTTCCGCTAGTTCACAATTAGGAATTCTGAGGGAATATCATGAATAGAGATCAGTCTTTGAAAAAGGCTTAGCCAGAGCAATTAGTGTCAGAAAGCGCCACTCCCATTTCCCTCTCAGGCTCCTGTTCTCGTGGTGTTTTCCGATTTTCATTCCCGACATATAAGAAGCGATGCCCTTGCTGTTATGGATTTTGGCTTGATTTAGAAAACGCAGGCATAAGTTTCTGAGAAGCTTGGAGCAGGTAGAATGGGCAGCTTTCATAAGTCACATGAGAGACGTGTTCCTGTCAGTGACTGATGCATCTGACAGTTGTGTTTCTCATGTCCTGGGTCTATTTTTTAAAAGAATTGATGTCGTTCACATTGTTTGGCTCCCAGTAAACGAAAGCAAAAATTGCTGGCTGTCAAAGACAGAACTGTGGCTGTTCCTGGGCTTCAGTTTCTGCCAAACAGAAGAAATGCAGCTGCGGGGACCATGAATGGCCATCTAAGAGGGCTGAGCTCTCACTGCAATCTGAGCTGTGACACATTAATGGACACGCAGGTATTGCCAGTGAATCAACACGTTGCACGGGACTCTGGCTGGACTGGCCGCTTGACGTGCAATGGTCGCACGGGGCGTGGCGATGCGAAGACGTGTGTCTCGTACCTCTCAGGCACGCCGACCACAGTGCAGGAAAAACGGCAGCAGCCAGAAAGGTCTGTACTGCGCTCTGAAGGACTTCTGATGGGAAATGGGCAGCTGGGCCCACAGGCCCCAGACTGGGGAGGTGTGTGGGGGGGGGGGGGGTGAAGGGGCAGTATGATGTGTTAGTCATTTACAGGCTCCAGGAGGTCTATGACCAGCAGATATCATCAAAAAATAAGTCAGTCGGCAAGGGCTTGTGGATGACAGTGTGAGCGGCTAAATTCACCTCAAGTCGGCACGGAGAACAAGCCACATTTTCTGACGGGAGACATCAGAGAGCCTTGCTGAAGGTGGCTGTATACTTCAGGCGAAATCAACCGCATGCAGCCTGCGGCGCCTCCCCGAGACAAACTTCCTGGTTTGTTCTGATCCCACCCACCGTCCACGATTGGCTGAGGGCTAATTATGCAGTTCCCAGCATGCTTTGCATTGCACTTTAAATGGTGTAAATTTATAGGTATTTGTGTATCTCTGTTAATAGTAAATGTTGTAACCATGTAGAGTTTGCTGTGACATGCGTGTTTCATTGGCGTGTCACCGTGAGTGTCGTGTAAATTGTCGGTGCCGCTGCTAGTATTAAACCGATAGTAGCTGTTAATGAAGACAGTAACTCCCATTTTAAAAAAGCTGTCATCTCCTTTATTAAAGTGACTCACGCACTCGCCACAATGTGTGTATCCACGCTCCCTATGCCGGTCTGCTACATAGCAAACATGCGCCTTCTACGGTCGTGGCGTGACAGAATAGAGAAGGGGGTGCGACAGTTGGTTCTTGCCAACGTGTTTGATTTTCTTTTGTCCAGACGTCGTTTGAAGTCTACGGGCACCTTTAAGGCTGGGCTTTTCGCAGCTGTACTCCGCCGATCCCGTCATCCACCTCCAAGATTTATCTTTTTTTCACCCCTGTAAATGGTATATATTAAGGTGATCCATCTTCTCATAAGACCACAAATGCCCAAAAATAACTATGAATGTGAGTAGTCACTCTGAAATTGATTGTTGATAATAAGTGGGGAGGAGGAGTGCTTGTCAGGAAAAGAATAAAAAAACAAACAAAACTCATTCTTGAAGCATGACTGTATGGTCCAGTAAAAGCATATGTTTTTCTACTCTACTCTCATCTCGTTGCTAAGTAACAGCAGCACCTATGAACTGGTCCGGAGTTTGTGCTATGGGCAGCAATGCTCTACAAAAGCTGTGTTTTGTTCTGTAACTTTGGTAAATAAGACAATTATGTATAAAAATGAGGGCTGATGATGTGAACGGGCCCTGCAGTAGGGTGAGGGGAGGGGACACCCCCAATAGAGACAGACACAGCCGTCTACAGAGTTATCATTAAATACCATTATTCTAGATTTCTGACTTTAATGACTAAATGTGGTCGTAAATTTTGAGTAAATGTCTTGACACTGTAGCTGAAGCCCAGTTTTGTCACACTCATGGGCTTCCAGGTGCCACCAAATGATCCATGACATCGGCGGTCATATGGAGGTAGGCGGGCGGGGGTGGGGGATAATATTTATGGAGACTTTCGGTAAGGATTATGGCCCCATTCGAAGTGATCAACAGACTAGGTCAATACAGATGAAGATAATGGTTTGTTGAGATTACAAGCCTAATGAGCCAATTAGAGCACAGTCCTTTTTACAGGACAGATATTCGGCAAGGTCTATTGTTTTATGGCTATGAAATTTCAGACATCGAACAGAAGACCAAGCAAAAGGCAAATATTTGGTGGCGCTGCGTGTGGAAGACGAGAAAGGCTACTGATTAACCACGGAGCGGCTCTAAGAGGAGGCGCCGATGCTGAATTTGCCCGTTTGTTTACTGCGGGCTTCCTGGAGGGTCTTAGTGACGGCTTGTTGCCGGGGTCCCGAGACGCAAGACTCAATTTGCCGAATTAGAGTGTGGAAAAAATGAGTCCGGTCACATTCCACTGGCGCCCACAGGACCGAGACCCGGCAGAGTCAACAGGAGGAGACGGATGGAGTACTCCAGAATTAGCCAGTTTCATTCCCGTTCTCACTGGTAGACGACTCGCTCGGTTGTCTCTATGGCAACAGAAAGCACTCGCTTCTGCCTGAATGCGTCTCATTTCCTGCAAGGGTGACTGAAATGACTATTGTTGTTTTTCTCCCCCGCGTAAACATGTGGTTATCACTCTGGAGGCGGCCCACATCGCCATTCCCTTTGATGCAAGTGGAGAATTCAGGATGCTAACAGAAGGAGCAGCAACACGCCTCACGTGCCTCGTCAGTCCAAGCTGACCCTTAGGCCACTTTTTAATGACCATTCTCGCCCCCTGCAGGAGACAAATGGTGTTGCATTGCTTTGTCTGTGCCCCCCCCCCCCACCCCAAACCCCTCCTAGCAGAAAGAAACATTTAAGAAAAGGGGATCTAAGGCAGCTGAGAGAATACCAGGACATCCTAATAATAGGAATTGTGCTGGATGACCTTGAAATCTGGACCTGGGTCTCCGTGTCTAAAGATGCTATGTTCTCTAATTAGTTTATCGTCACAATTTTGCGTTTCCCTTCATGAATCCCTGGAATTTTTGGTCAGGTGACCAGGTTTGTGACTTTAATATTAGGTTAATGGTAAATACCAATCTGGATCAATTATCTTAATTTTAGAAAATTATTTTGTAAGTCCAATACGATAATCTTGTATGATGTAACACATTCAGTGGCATAATACTTCATTGAATACTAGGATTCAATACAGCAATTCAAAAAATTTTACCAAAGTTCAAAGGGAAATATGATCAGTTTGGGTAGCTTACTCTGGCGCTGTGTGAGAACGTCTCACTAATTCTAAGTTCACTAAAATCATATTCATCATCAACCTTCCGTTTGTTTCTGTGTGAGGTAAAGACAGTACGGTGGGGGGCACCTACTTTGCTAGACAGCTGGAAAAAAAGCCCAGTGATGGCATCTAAAGCCTGGCATCAAGGTTAAGGACTGTGTTCTGCTGTAGATAGTTTAGGGAGAGTCAGTATCTGAGAGGAGGACAATATATCCATAATTAAAGATGAATTTCTGTGACTATACAAAAAAGATAAACATTTATCTTATCTCTAACACTATGCTGTGTATTAGCAAAACGCCAGAGGGCCCATTCAGGACCTGCGTATGTGTCTGCTGTGCTGCTGGCAATCGACGGAGCTGGCGGATTGATTCAAAGTTCACCTGTTATGAATGACATGAAAACGCTTCGGTGACGAGCATCGCGGTTGACGTGTGCATGGGGATTTACTGAGTGACACGTGACTGTGGCGATATGACAGCGCCAAGAGGCGAGCAAAGGACGGACCCGGCCGTCGTGCCGATGACTGATGGCGGCTTAATAACACTGCATGTTATCTGCACGTCGGACTCCACGCAGAAGGCTCCGAGTAACGTTACTCAGCTGCGCTCTGAGAATGGTTTCCGTCAGAGCCAAGATGTGCCGTCCGACTCTTCCTGCTACGCTGATGTCAGTCTGATGAGCTGCTTCTTCAAATAAACATCACAGAACATATTTACGTTGTTTCAGGCCAGTAACTGCACACAGGTCATGTGTCATATGCCGACTGCCCAATTAAGAACAGTTCAGAAGTGCTGCCTTAACACTGAAGTCGCCAGGTGGAATGATTTTCTCAGGAGACGTAACTCCTCACACTCTGCTCTGGGTGTCTGTAGTGATGCCCGGAAGATGGATGTCTTTTTGGTCACACAGAGGCAAGGCCAGCGATGCTCCTGGCCAAATTGGTGTCACAACCTCTCTGGGTGACAAACATTGAGAATGTGAGCAGACGGTTGGCCATGTCCTGTGTGGGTGGAAAAGGTCAGAGCGCCGCGTTCTTTTATAGCGGCCGGGAGCTTCTACAGCTCCCCACAGAATGATCCCACAAATCAACCAGTCTCACAAGGACACTATCTGCCAGTCCACACTCACTTCATCCAGTGCTGAGCTCCAAAACCAGTTAGTATTCTTCTGGATGGTAAAGACCTTATTTGATCGTCTAATTATGTTCTATTGTTAGGGGCTGTAATATTCTTAAAATACCTGTTTATTTTGAATTGAAGGGTAAATGTCCCGCCCTTTATTGCAACTGCTGCTCAGACAGGGTTATGTAATATTATTAAATCCATCAGCTGTGTAACTATACCTGTATAATACTTAATCCCCCAAAAAGTAATAGCGTTACAGGCTGTAATACCCGGCTCCATGTTTTGCATATTTTAGTGTTTGCACAACGTTTTAAGTAGAGACAGAGTTAAGCACCCAGCGGAGCATCTTTACGTTCCAGACGAATGAGCTTCCATTGGGTATTTGCATAAGGCATGTCGCTCAACCGTATATTTTTCGGCCAAAGCATTTAACCTTAAATTTTCTCAAGGTGACTCATTTCGGATCCATACGTTTGAATAACAGAAAAATACGGTGCGGTAACGACGTTTTTGCACAATGGACATCAACACAAATGCATTTGCTTTAGTGATGACAACTTTTGTGCTATTGCGCACATAGTCGACTAAATCCCTTTCATCGGCACTAAAATGCTTCATGGTTTCTAAGGTTTTCACGTACCTTTAGATCATATCCATCTTAATAATCCAAAACCTACAATAAACATACCTGTACTGGACCACTCAACCGACATAACTAATAGATAGCAGTTAAGCTAGAGTCAGAGTCACACGTACATATTTAAAGTAAATGTCTGACACCGGGCGCCCGCTTCTCCGCGTTTCCAGATTCTTCCTTTCTCCTGATCCTAGAGCCGCAGCGCAACGTAACCGGAGACGTTTCTCCATTTTCCTGCAAAGTGTTGAGCAAACATGCTTCTCCACCGCTCCACGCACAAGCTGGGAAGAAGGTGCGTACGGGACGGCGGTGCCTAATCACCCCGGACGGTGTTACACACCTCCCGCAACAGGTGAAACTCACGCCGCCGCTCAAGTAGTATTTCGTTTTCAAGTCAATGTCAGTGTTATTTTTTGCCTGATTATCCGTGGAAAGCGCATACTGAAGGGATGCTGTGGCAGTTGGAGGGGGCATCAGTCGGGGAGGGTGGGGGTGCAAATGCACACAAGTTGGGAAGACCTTACCTGATAATGACATACATGACGAGCACGTTCCCCACCAGTCCAACGACACACACGATGGAGTAAAAAGCGGTGATGATGATGGCAATGACCACCGGGATGGAGCCCTTGTTAGCAGCCTCGGCGTCCATGACGGTGGCGTTGGTGCTGAAGTTGCGGCAGAACGCGCTGCCGTTGGCGATCGCCTCGGTGGCATGCTGGCACGGCAGCTCCGACGTGTTGCCCACGTTGTCCATGGTGCACCGAGCGGCTCCGTCAAGCGCTTTGATCTGTCCGCGAGCGGAGCTGTTTCGGACCTCTTGTAGGGACCCCAGGACACACAGACGGCTCCCCCTCCCGGCACTCTAACGCTGCGCTGGTACAGCGTGCAGTCGCGCTCCTGAAGCGAACTGTTAACGTACGTCCTCCGCGGCGCAGGTCTGCGGACCCAAGGCGACACGGGCGCTGGAAGCCGATCACTTTTCGCATCGCGTTTCGCGTTTTATCCGGCGAAATGACGTCACTTTACACGCCACATGACCGACGTTCGGGTACCGGGGAAAAATGCGAGGGAAAGCGCGCACTTTAGGGTGCTGGTATACAGAGCTGTTTGTTGTTGTTGTTATTATTATTATTATTATTATTATTATTATTGTTGTTGTTGTCATCGTTGTTTGTTGTAGCAATTTATATTATTGATGGTGCGGTCATGTTGTCATGCACCTCTGATATGTTTAAGTTCGCCCAGTTGTCGTCTCCTATAGAGTACTGCTTGCAGACATTGATAATGAAAAAGTTTAACGAAGCTCTGCTTCTATATGGCAAAGCAGAACAGAAATACGCCTACAAGCAGTCCTACAGATAGGCTATATAGCTTCTTTTCAGTTTTATTTAATTTCTTTTAAAATAAATCACATAAATGTATATTGTTATTCATTATTTTACGTATATAATCACACTTTAATAGGGCCAAAGTGAGTCACTCACAGTAGACGATATGGACTTAAAATGAATGGACAAAATCAAGATGGAAAATTGTGATTTTATCCGGCCAGTGTGTCTGTGCCCGCCTTTACATTTTGATAACCAGTTTCACTGCTGAAACAACGTTTCATGAGTCGCCTGTCAGTTGAAATAAGACGCATGTCATTCTGTCCAGATACGTAGTGCCCCCTATTGGCCCAACAGCAACATCTCTCGGTAGTGAAAAGAAATTAATGTCACGTGGTACAAAGGTACCGACATAAAAGACATGAAGGTACAGAATTATGTTCTTAAACTTATCTGAAACGAGCATTTTACTACTGATTTGTTTAAATAGAAGCTTTTAAAATATTCACAATTAGCTATATTGGGAACATATCTGTCATGTACAATTGATTTACAGATAATACAATTAATTGTGTCATTGCTTATTCTGCTAAATGATATAGGTATCAAATTCATTTAAATTTATTGAAGCTGTTAACTTAATTTTTTTAATAGCATTAGCCTAATCGTTTCGAATCATCCCGTCAGTGCGACACAGTCGTTTGGATGTTACAGCAAAGACCAACAGTTTAACTGCGTAGCAGCATGAATAACTGATTATAGAATAGTGGGGGACCTTGGATTTTTTTCGCATACATCACAGTGTACAGGGTCAGCCAGTGGCCAACGCTCCTGGAGCAGTTGGGGTTAAGGGTCTCACTGAATAGTATCACAGTGATACGATTACTCTGCCAGTACCGGAATTAGAACCGGCGACTTTCCAGGCTGGCGTGCAGATTTGCTACCCGCAGAGCCTCACAGCCCCTGAATCCTGCCTTATGCTGCTGTATACGTACTGCTCGCAGCCCGATCACGCCACTGGTTCGCCGATAAACTCAATATAAGCATATATATATATATATATATATAATTACTATGTCATTTGTATAATTATCTTTGAACCGGCACCGTGGCATGTTTAATTTTCTGTAACCACACACGTAGTGCGGGCCAGGCGAGTCACAGTAGTAAATCAATGCGCGATTATAGTCTTTAATTGTAACTAACGTACCTTAACAAAAACTGTAAAAAAGGAAATTGCTAGAAATCCCTTGAATGACAACAGTTCTTCAGGCCGAGGACCAGGACCGGTTGCC